TCTAAATGAATCCTAACACAAGTTTCTAAAAGCAGGTCAATGTTGGCCAACCTAGCTTATGCCGCTGGTGATAGCCTCATGATGTGGGCTTCAGGTGATAGGTCCTGAGTGATATCAACATACGTCATCAGTACATCGGTATTTATTGCCGCCGTTATTTGACTGTTATGGTGCGCCTAGAGTGGCAGGTCAAGCTTATTTTAACTCCCAGCTAATTTATACTCTTCCTATTTCAGAAGATGCCTCTCCTGCATGACATAATGCTCGTCGAATTGTTGTAGTTTTATCTCTGTCTTCAAAATGTCATCATCATTTTGCGTCATTCTGCAGTCCTCGATTGTTCTGACTCTCCTCATCAGTTTCAGTAGTAACTTCATGTACTGAAATGAATCGGATGAATTTTGACAACTGAAGACATAGTTGTTCACCCCCTCCCTAGTTTGGTTGTCAACTTCTTCTCGCTAAACCTTTCATATTTGCCGAGGAGAACTTTTTTTTCCACTGAATCCATAGTGACATTCTATTGCAAACTTTATTTAATCTAACCTTGTGTTACTTATCTCTGGTAACCTTTTCCTGAATATTCTTTATGGTGATCCAGGTCATTCTTAGTGTGTGTGTGTGTATTCACCTAGTGTTATTTACCTAGTTGTGCTTGCGGGGGTTGAGCTCTGCTCTTTCGGCCCGCCCTTCAACTGTCAGTCAACTGTTACTAACTACTACTTTTTTTTCAACTCTCTCTCTCACACACACACACACACACACTCACACACACACATACACACACACAGAGATAAAAGAAAGAGTTAGTGAGGCAGACCCAGACATAGTGGCAATAGTGGAAACTAAAATAAATGGCATGATCTCGGATGCAATCTTTCCAGAGGGGTACCAGGTGGTTAGAAAAGAAAGGACACAGAGACAGGGAGGAGGAGTGGCACTACTAATAAAGCGGAAATGGAAGTTTGATGAGCTGGAAAATCCGGGTACCAATGAAAGCACAAGCTTCATACATGGAACTCTGACAGTGGATGGGAAGAAGATTGTAATCTTGATACTCTACAATCCCCCACCAAACAGTAGAAGGCCCAGGCAGGAGTACGAGGACAGCAACAAGACATGTATGGATGAACTGCAGAGGGCAGCAACTTTAGCGCATAGAATGAGAGCGAAGCTGCTGGTCATGGGGGACCTAAATCACGGAGAGATAGATTGGGAAACGAGGAATCCCCATGGCGGGGAGGAGACCTGGGGAGCGAAGCTGGTAGACGTTATTGACAGGAATTTCCTAACACAGCATGTGAAAGAAGATACTAGGGAAAGAGGAGGGGATACGCCCAGCCTATTAGATCTCATTATCACTCAGAATGTAGAAGACATCGAGCAGTTGGAACATGAAATACCACTAGGAGCTAGTGACCATTGTGTCCTAGCCTTTGACTACATGATGGAGCTTAAAATTGTGACCAAAGGACAAGAGGTCCGGGAAAGGAGACTTGATTACAGAAAAGGGGACTACAGAAGGATAAGGGACTACCTGGGAGAAGTGCAGTGGGAGGAAGAACTTAGAGGAACAACAGTGCAAGGTATGATGAACCAAGTCATATTGAAATGCAAGGAGGCTGAAGATAGATTTATTCCAACAATAAAGGAAAAAAGCAGGAGGGAATATAATAACCCATGGTTTAATAGACAGTGTCAGGAAGCAAAGGTGAGAAGCAGGAGGGAGTGGAGGAAGTACAGAAGGCAAAGGACAGAGGACAACAGGATTAGATGTAACAGAGCTAGGAATGATTACATTAACATAAGACGAGTGTCGGAAAGAAATTATGAGAACGATATTGCAGTCAAAGCGAAAAAGCAACCAAAATTACTACATAGCCATATAAGAAGGAAGATGTCGGTAAATGACCAAGTGACAAGACTGAGGAAAACAGAAGGGGCATATACAGAAAGCGACAAGGAAATCTGCGAGGTACTGAATGCAAAATTCCATGGAGTGTTCACTACCGAGCCTGAGCAGCTCCCATTGTTAGAAGAGATTACCCAAGATGAAAGACTATCAGATATAGAGGTGACAGCAGAGGATGTAATGAAACAGTTGACAACACTGGATGCAAATAAAGCTGTTGGACCAGACAAAGTATCACCGTGGATACTTAAAGAGGCAGCGCAGGCTCTCAGCGTGCCTCTGGCAATGATCTTCAATGAGTCACTTATGTCGGGAGAATTGCCCAGTTGCTGGAAGGAGGCAAATGTCGTACCGATTTTCAAAAAGGGGGATAGGGAGGAGGCACTTAACTACAGACCCGTATCACTGACAAGCATCCCCTGCAAAATACTTGAAAGAATAATTAGGCTAAGACTTGTTGAGCACCTGGAGAGCATTGGGTTTGTAAACAAGCACCAACATGGGTTCTGGACAGGGAAATCATGCCTAACAAACCTTTTAGAATTCTATGATAAAGTAACAAGGATAAGGCAGGACAGAGAAGGCTGGGCAGACTGCATATTTCTTGACTGCCAAAAGGCCTTTGATACGGTACCGCACATGAGACTGCTATACAAACTTGAGAGGCAGGCAGGAGTAAGCGGAAAGGCCCTAGTATGGGTGAAGAACTACCTAACAGGAAGGAGCCAGAGGGTAATGGTAAGGGGCGAAAAGTCGGACTGGCGAACAGTAACAAGTGGAGTACCTCAAGGATCGGTGCTGGGACCAATCCTCTTTCTAATTTACGTAAATGATATGTTTACAGGAGTGGAATCATACATGTCGATGTTTGCAGATGACGCAAAATTAATGAGAAGAGTTGTGACAGACGAGGATTGTAGGATCCTCCAAGAGGACTTAAACAGGCTGCAGAGATGGTCAGAGAAATGGCTACTGGAGTTTAACACCAGTAAATGTAAAGTTATGGAAATGGGATCAGGAGACAGGAGACCAAAGGGACAGTACACAATGAAGGGGAACAGCCTACCTGTAACGATTCGAGAAAGAGACCTGGGAGTGGATGTGACACCTAATCTAACTCCTGAGGCACATATAAATAGGATAACGACAGCAGCGTACTCTACACTGGCGAAAATTAGAACTTCATTCAGAAACCTAAATGAGGAAGCTTTTAGGGCGCTTTACACTGCCTACGTGAGACCCGTCTTAGAGTATGCCGCGCCATCATGGAGCCCCCACCTGAAGAAACACATAAAGAAACTGGAGAAGGTTCAGAGGTTTGCGACGAGGCTTGTCCCAGAGCTACGAGGGATGGGATATGAAGAGCGGCTGAAGGAACTGAACCTTACGACACTAGAGAAAAGAAGGGAGAGAGGAGATATGATAGGGACATATAAAATACTCAGGGGAATTGACAAAGTGGAAATAGATCAAATGTTCACACGTAATAATAACAGAACGAGGGGACATGGGTGGAAACTGGAAACTCAGATGAGTCACAGAGATGTTAGGAAGTTTTCTTTTAGCGTGAGAGTAGTAGAAAAATGGAATGCACTTGGGGAACAGGTTGTGGAAGCAAATACTATTCATACTTTTAAAACTAGGTATGATAGGGAAATGGGACAGGAGTCATTGCTGTAAACAACCGATAGCTAGAAAGGCGGGATCCAAGAGTCAATGCTCGATCCTGCAAGCACATATAGGTGAGTACATATAGGTGAGTACACCCACACACACACACACACAGGGGCCTCGTAGCCTGGTGGATAGCGCGCAGGACTCGTAATTCTGTTGCGCGGGTTCGATTCCCGCACGAGGCAGAAACATATGGGGAAAGGTTCTTTCACCTTGAATGCCCCTGTTACCTAGCAGTAAATAGGTACCTGGAAGTTAGTCAGCTGTCACGGGCTGCTTCCTGGTGTGTGTGTGTGTGTGTGGTGTGGAAAAAAAGTAGTTAGTAAACAGTTGATTGACAGTTGAGAGGCGGGCCGAAAGAGCAAAACTCAACCCCCGCAAAACACAACTAGGTGAATACACACACACACACCCAGGAAGCAGCTCTGCAACAGCTGTCTAGCTCCCAGGTACCTATTTACTGTTAAGTAACAGGGGCGACAGGATGAAAGAAGATCTACCCATAGTTTCCAGTCGGGAATCGAACCCCGATCCACTGGACTACGTATCAAGCGTGCTGCCCACTCAGCCACCAGCCCCTGAATGTGTGTGTGTGAGTGCACACATATACTGGTCTGAGCTGGTGTATATATATAGGCTGAGTCTTGCCAGTATACAGATAATTGTTGTGTTAACAGAGGTATAATTGGTTGACAAAAATGTTTCTCACTTGCAGATTGGTCATGGAATGATGGTTTATAGATTCTCTGCCCCCCCCCCTCTCTCTACCTCCTCCTCCTTCTCCACCTCTCTTCTCTTTCTCCTCTCAACAATACCACGTGATAAACCCCACTTGGCCGACGGTCACCGAGTAAAGCCCACCTTCCCACTCCCTAACGGCCCAGCTCAACCATTCCTGTACGGCTCATAACTCACACTAGACTCTCAAGAGGTCCAGTCTTACCGACACTCACACATAACACTTCCCTCTTCCTCACCGCTATAACTCTTCCCAAGGATCCTTCTCTCGTGTGCAGCGACCTACTCCGTCGGAGTGAAGAGTGTTTAAGATAGTTTTCAGGTCGTCAAAACCATTGAAGAAATTCATGCTATTATTCAGTCTGATTTATTGGGTTTATTCTATACGAGGACTTATGACAACGACTCACGAAAAAAAAATTGTCAGTACAGCTCACGTAAAAAATTCTACTTGTCTGCTTACGTATAGATTTTGAAGGTAGAAGCTATGTATGTTTAGCAACATATTGCGTACATGAACTACCCAAACAAAATGCTTTTCTTTTGTTTGCATCATGATCGATAGTATGATGAAGGAGACGTCGAGATGAATAACAATGCAAACGTTTGGATGACTGGTAACGGAAAGTGAATGTTATCAACGATGAAACGTGTTTATATGACTTGCCACAGAAAGCTAACTGAGGTGTGTGGTTGGCCGATGATACACATGGAGCGTGGAGGTAGAAGTAGTACCATACACACAGAGCGTGGAGGTAGAAGTAGTACCATACACATAGAGTGTGGAGGTAGAAGTAGTACCATACACATAGAGTGTGGAGGTAGAAGTAGTACCATACACACAGAGCGTGGAGGTAGAAGTAGTACCATACACATAGAGCGTGGAGGTAGAAGTAGTACCATACACATAGAGTGTGGAGGTAAAAGTAGTACCATACACATAGAGCGTGGAGGTAGAAGCAGTACCATACACACAGAGCGTGGAGGTAGAAGTAGTACCATACACATAGAGTGTGGAGGTAGAAGTAGTACCATACACATAGAGTGTGGAGGTAGAAGTAGTACCATACACACAGAGCGTGGAGGTAGAAGTAGTACCATACACATAGAGTGTGGAGGTAGAAGTAGTACCATACACATAGAGTGTGGAGGTAGAAGTAGTACCATACACACAGAGCGTGGAGGTAGAAGTAGTACCATACACACAGAGCGTGGAGGTAGAAGTAGTACCATACACATAGAGTGTGGAGGTAGAAGTAGTACCATACACATAGAGTGTGGTGGTAGAAGTAGTACCATACACACAGAGCGTGGAGGTAGAAGTAGTACCATACACATAGAGCGTGGAGGTAGAAGTAGTACCATACACATAGAGTGTGGAGGTAAAAGTAGTACCATACACATAGAGCGTGGAGGTAGAAGCAGTACCATACACACAGAGCGTGGAGGTAGAAGTAGTACCATACACATAGAGTGTGGAGGTAGAAGTAGTACCATACACATAGAGTGTGGAGGTAGAAGTAGTACCATACACACAGAGCGTGGAGGTAGAAGTAGTACCATACACACAGAGCGTGGAGGTAGAAGTAGTACCATACACATAGAGCGTGGAGGTAGACGTAGTACCATACACATAGAGTGTGGAGGTAGAAGTAGTACCATACACATAGAGTGTGAGCTTCGGGTTAAGACACAAGAGTGTGGGATTTAAGTCAGTTTTCGCTCCAGTCTGCCACGTTGACCACATATAATAACTTGAGTGTGCGAGAGTTGTCATTAACTCAGACACGAGTGATTCGTGCTGTAACCATATCTCTCATTCAGAGTATTTTGCACAGCCATAGAAAATGAGAAACAGATCATAATGCGCAAATAAGAAGTAAATGGGAGATGGTGTGACTGTAGAAAGGAGTTGAATGGAGATGTGTGAGTAAGTAGAAACATGAAGAAGTAGAAGGAAGGAATAAAATATTAGAGTAAAAATTAAAAGCAAGAAGCAGACGGAAGACATAGAAGAATGAAGTAACAGTAAAACTTAAGACAGAAATAAAATGAAAGAAAATAGGATGAATAGAAACTGAATTAACCCTCAAGCTCCACCTACCCAATTAGCCGTTGATAAGATGTGCAGAAGTAGCGACCCTTCCTTCACCTCTGACCCTGAGGCCGGGTGTCGTCCAGGCGCCGGCGCCGGCTCCTTGAAGGCAAGGAATGGCCTCGTTTCAGGTCATGCGTCATTAAGCTTGCCACACTGGAGCGAGACTCCGTGATCAAAGCAGGTTGTCAGAAGAAGGGATACTAAGGTACCAGATCTTCTATTCCTGGTCAATGATAACGGGTCACTTTTGATCCTGTTCGCCTTGAAGGTACTATACAGGTCCTTGGGCAAGATTTTGAGGATATCACATCTTTCACTTTCCAGGTAAGAGCCAAGCCATGCCCTCAAAAACCCTTCGGGTCCTGTCCAGAATAGAATATTGCTTTTCGAAGCCCTTGGTCTTTGCCTGAGATTCTAAGGCTCTGACCCAGTTGGAACACATCGACCTTTCCCCTCTCTGATTCCTTTGTAGGTCTTGTGAGCTTCAGTTACGAGGTCTTGTGATCGTCCATGTACCAGGTCGTTAACTAGGGGGACGAGGGTGTGTCGGAGGGCAGCGGACGGGACGCGTGTGTCCGCCTGCCCCGGTAATCTCCGACAAGCTTGGGGCCGCTAGACGCTTGGGAGAGGAATAAATTCTTCACTTTAAAAGGCGCCGAGAACAGTTGTCATTATAATTGGCACGCCCCGTCCCCATTGTCGCTTCCAGATATGTCAATTAGAGTGTTTTCCTAGCACCTTGAGACCAGAGGACCAGGAGAATACTCGCTAGACTCGCAAAACTGTCCAATTAGCAGCTCATGCGTGGAATTAGTCGTGGTTTGTTGAAGTGTGTTTAGTTTTTTTGGTCGTGTTCTTTGGTCAACGACTACACTAATTATTTAAGGAAATAGTGGCCATGTTAAGGGAACTGTAAATAGTTTGCACTGTCCCCCGCAATACCTGGCTTCCACCACAGCAGGCAAGAGAGAAGGAGACTTGCTTTTAATTGTCTTTTCAGAACATTGCTTTTCGGATTTGTTTCTTTTAATTTCGTACTCACAAATTTGCCTGTTTATCTGTCAGTCTGTTTTGCGGTCTGTCTGTCTTTCTCTCTTTGCTTTTTAACCTAAAATTTGGGTTCATTAGAAATGGCAATTATGTTCAACTTAAAGCTAAAAGTTGTTATATGAGCTGTATATGAGCTATGTTATATGAGTTATATTGTTATATGTGCTACATGAGCTCATCAAAACCTTAACCGGAGAAACTCTGAATGATTAGCTGATTTTTACTCTTTACTAGCAGTACCCGGCTACGCGTTGCTGTGGTTCAGCAACCTTCCCTGTCCCCCAGTCCTCCCTTCCAATCCCCCCTAACCCGTCTCCTCGACCTCCCAACCATTCCCCACTCCACTGTCCGCTCCTCCTCTCCACCATTCCCCACTCCACCATCCCCTCTTTCTTCCCACCATGCCCCACTCCCCTGTCCCATTGTCCTCCCCACTATTCTCCATTCCCCCATCCCCTTGTCCCCACCATCCCAAACGCCCTCGTCCCCTCGTCCTTCCCCACCTTTACCCCCTCGTCATCCCCACCATTCCCCACTCCCTCGTCTGACACCTTCCCAAATGGTCTGATGTTCCCATCAGAAAATTGGGAACATCAAGTGATCAGATGTTCCCATCACTGAAATATAAAAAAACAGTTAAAAAATGAAATGAAATAAAACTATAAAAAAATAAATCAAAATAAACTATATCCCGCCGGCATATATCACTGTGATGGTGCCCGCCGCCACCATCACTCTGATGGTGCCCGCCGCCACCATCACTCTGATGGTGCCCGCCGCCACCATCACTGTGATGGTGCCCGCCGCCACCATCAGCATGACTTCTCTGGTGATGGTCTGGTTGTGGGAAGAGATTATATGTTCCTTAATGGAGCCCTGTTGCTTATGCATTGTTAATCGCCTGGAAAGAGATGTCGTTTACTTGCTTATATACTGAGTTCTTTGGGGCTTACAGTCCCCAAGAGGGCATTTGAAGGCATCGACGACATTGGTCTCTTTTAAGGCTTTTTGCTTTGTGTCTGTAGAGTTTTTCATGAGTAGTTTGGCCGTTTTTTTGGTTTTATGGTAAATCGTCAATTGTATCTTCTATAAAACCCCAAAAACGGCCAACCTACTCATGAAAAACTATGAGTAGTTTTAGCAGAGTAGAGCACAGGGAGTATGAACATCATACTCTCTGACCAAACTAAATTCCACAGGGTAACGAAGGACACTACAGCCGAATTAAAAACGGAGGTAAACAGATTGATCGAAACTGTGAACGTTAAGAAATCCGGACTCCACCTGCCAAAAGTTGTTGGGGAATACAAACCTGTGTATGCCTATGGAAATGTCAAGACCCACAAGCCTGGAAACGAACTTCGGCCAATCATCAGCCAGATACCCATACCCACATACAGACTGGCTATGCGACTCAATGGGTTTCTGACTCCTTACGTACCCAGTACTTTCAGCTTGAAGTCTCCCAAAGAATTTGTCGACTTACTGCGCGGAGCACGGGCCACGGGGATAAGAGCCTCGTTGGATGTGGAGTCACTGTTTACCAACGTCTCTGTGGACGAGACAATCGGGATGATAGCAGACAGAGTGTATCGTGACCAGGCTTGCACTCCTCTTGACATGCCAGAAAGCATACTGAGAAAACTACTCCAGGCCTGCACTAAAGAGGCACCCCTTCGTTAGCCCAGATGGGCAGATGTATAAGCAAGTAGATGGGGTCACCATGGGTTCTCCCGTAGGTGTCCTGTTAGCGAACTTCTACGATGGGCACCATCGAGCAGAGCGTCTTACTTGACATGGACTTGAAACCCGCCATATACTGCAGGTATGTTGACGACATTTTTACACAGGTACCTGATGTCAGATGTCTGCAGCAGCTGAAGGAGGCATTTGAGCAGAATTCTGTGTTGAGTTTCACGTACGGGATGGAGAACAATGGGAAGCTGCCCTTTCTGGATGTAACAGTCACGGAAAGGAGCGGAGGCTTCCATACTGCAGTCTACACTAAAGAAACAAACATATGAATGTGCCTCAATGCCAACAGTGACTGCCCAAACAGGTAAAAGAGGAGTGTTGTCAACGCTTACGTCGACCGTGCTCTAAGCCACAGCTCAGAATAGAAGGAAGTCAATGAAGAACTCTGTAGGGTATGGCAAGTCCTAGTCAACAACGGCTTCTCTAACGGTTTCGTTGAAGACATCATAAAAAGAAAGGTGAAACGTCATACAACTTCTGAAGAGTCAACCAACACAACACTTGTACCCCCAATTAAACTATTTTACAGGAACTTCTTTTCGACGGCTCATAAAACGGAGGATAGGGTCCTGAAAGATATTTTTGATCTTATCTTGAGGTTATCTTGAGATGATTTCGGGGCTTTAGTGTCCCCGCGGCCCGGTCCTCGACCAGGCCTCCACCCCCAGGAAGCAGCCCGTGACAGCTGACTAACACCCAGGTACCTATTTTACTGCTAGGTAACAGGGGCATAAGGTGAAAGAAACTCTGCCCATTGTTTCTCGCCGGCGCCTGGGATCGAACCCAGGACCACAGGATCACAAGTCCCGCGTGCTGTCCGCTCGGCCGACCGGCTCCCCTGATAGGAACGTCATCCCTACAGACAAAAATCAGAAAATACAATTGATAATTTATTATAAAACCAAAAAAACGGCCAATCTACTCATGAAAAACTCCCCAGACACCAAGCAGAACGCTCAGAAGGAGACCAACGTCGTCTATGCCTTTAAATGCCCTCATGGGGATTTTAAGCCCCAAAGAACTCAGTATATAGGCAAGACAACAACGTTTCTTTCTAGGCGACTAACAATGCACAAGCAACAGGGAGCCATCAAGGAACACATTATCTCTTCTCACAACCAGACCATCACCAGAGAAATTTTAACAAACAACACAGAAATCATCCATAGGTACGGCGATAGCAGGCGGCTTGACATCTGCGAGACGCTACACATCAAAAATTCAACACCAGCAATTAACAGCCAATTAATGCACAACTATATTCTACCTACTTCAAGACCCCAAACCAATATGGAAGCAGCAAGAGGAAGTATGGGCTAATAGGCCTTCTGCAGTTACTTCCATTCATATGTTCACTTATCCAACTTATACCCATTGTTTCGTGTTCTGTCTTGTGTTTGTCACCTCACCCAAAACTTTTATACAATATCACCTCATCCAATAGAGTATAAGTACGAAGGATTTGTGTGTAAATTAAGTCTTTGAAAATGTAATACAAATTACGAAACGCGTTCAGACGTCAGACAATTAAAAAATGAATTTCGGAGAATTATTATTTTTATTACCACCGACAGTGAAGAAATACATTGAGAAGATTCGTGCTAGAATTATTAATCTTACCTTTTCGGTTATATTCAACAACACACACACACACACATATATATATATATATATATATATATATATATATATATATATATATATATATATATATATATATATATATATATATATATATATATATAAATATAAATATATATATATATAAATATATATATATATATATATATATATATATATATATATATATATATATATATATATATATATATATATATATATATATATATATATATATATATATATATATATAT